CTTCAGCCGTGAACCATCCTAAATGTTCTCTACTGAGCTGTCTGCATACTTACATAAAGTGAAACTCGATAGCTCCTCCACCTCCCCACTAGCTGGCTAGAACGCAGGTAGATGTGGCTGGGCAAAGTGGATTACAAAGTGAAAGGTAGGAAGAGACTCAAAAACGCACCCTCACAAAACTGTTTTACTTACCGTCCTACATTGAATGACTTCTTCCACTGCAGTGTACCAATGCCTATCGATGGACGTACGTAATGGTCAGCACTTCCCTTCTTTAATATGTTTACCACACAGGGCAAAACTTTAGATCCCATGGAAATACTAATATAAAACAGAGAAGTTACGGTCATATACCATCTCACTTGCAAACGAATTTGATAGCTGGCACGGTTGATTGGTCCGTAGATGTTTCCTTGCAGCAGTGACTGCGTTGTAATGGTAGTCGCAGGAGGTTGACCAAGAGGAGCGCCGGGGACAACGCTCAAAAGGAAGAGGAGGGAGTATGTGTAGTGCTTCAATTATTTTTTTATTTGTTAAATCTTTCCTTTAACTTCACTGGCACTTGAGGCCCCAGTTTTGTACTTTTGCTAAGCGGTATCGCCTGGAGGCCATGCCAGTAGCCCCTCGGCCCTTCCTTAAGCCGTTAATGCATATGACGTATTAAACCGTGCACCCAGTGAAAAAAACATTTGATTTTCTTAAATATCTACTTATATTAAACTCTTCTATCATAATAATTAAAAATTACTGTTTTGTATGGACGGAGTAATAGTTCAACCAGTTGGCAAATCGCTCACTTGATTGGTCGTAGCATAATTTCATATAATTTGTGAATTTTAATTAAAGGAACTCATTCTACTTCCATAATACAATTTTAAAAGTTTTTGGAAAATAATTCTTTATTTGGCAGATATTTTCAATAAAATATTTATACATCGTCTACTACCTGCATAAATTCGCCCTCATTTACTTAGCGGATTTTCCACTGCGTATCTAACATCAACTTTTCTCTTTAGATAGTTACAAAGTAATCTTTCAAAGCATCATTTTCAAAAGAGTTGGTACTCCTTGTGACCGACAGAAGGGATAGGTAAAAAGGGCAAAAGTTTTAAGGACTGAGCAGAGCATATCTCTTAACACGTTAATGTAAGAATATTCTGCGTTGTTAAAAATTTTCTACTCAGTGACGTGTAAGGATTGCACTTCCTTTTCGAGGGCAGATCTTTTGAAGCTGTTGGATAAAATGATTTTTCAGCCTGGTAGCCATAAGGGCTGTAGGGCCGATGAGTCATGTCCGGGTTCCGAGTACGACAAAAAGGCGCAGCTCCGTCCCTCCAACTCCCATTGGAAACCTGCCATTGTTAGCATGTGATTATTCCGCAGATCACGTGCATTATTCATTCACCCGTCTTCAGGAGGCTCTTGTCGACTAGGCATAACCATGTATCGTTTTCATCCGGACGTCATTTCGCCTCTGATAAGGTATTATGTGTACTACCGGCCAAACGTAGCAGGCATGGGGTACAGCCTTATCAGGTTGGGTAGTTAACTAGCTGGTTTTAGTTTGATTAATGTGATAATAAACACCATTTCTAACAGGGATTCTGTTCGACAGCTTAGTAGCGTGACACAGAAATTAATAAATTTTGAATTTAAAAAACAATATTTAAGCAGTAAAGGCTGGAGAAGAGAATTTGACTTTGCAACCCCAAATTGTTTTCTTGCGATTTGGAATAAGATCTAATTATTTTCCTTTGTATTTATGCTGACTTTTTCAAGGAGTTTTTGAATCTATTTTCCGAAAAGTTCCTCCAAACCATTGGCTTTAACTAGCTACCCATGGTGGTACAAATGTTAAAATCGCTCAGTTATCCAGGCTGGTGCGATCCAATCTGGGTTTTTGTTGTTGTAAAGCAATCAGGATAGGTAAAGCGTACCCTCCATTGTCAGTCCGTGCGTTGCAGACTCAAAAGTTACTATATAAAATTACTGTACTTTTCTTGGAATTGCTATTAAACAGAAAAGCATTTTACTTACTTTGTTGCTTTGTTTAGCTACACGGGTCTCTGAATCTGCGTAGATTGTATGTCTGCCCTGCGACGTGGCCTCAGAGCCATGTCAGTACCCTGCCATCCCTGCCATACGCCTATAATACATTTTCCTCACAGCACTTTGGCTTGTTACAGTTTCAGGGAAGGCTTAGGACACTACGTTATCTTTCAGTTGCTTTTAAAACTTCACCTTATTTACACCACAAAATTCTGATGTTTTCATTATTGAAGACGGTCTTTCCTTTGTTCTTTTCAGCAAACCCATAGAGTGAAAAATTAATTGGCGATAAAGGGCTTAATTTTTTGGCTTTCACACCTAGTATTTATTTGTATAAGAATAAAAAAAAATAAATCTGGTGAAACCTCGCAAGAGCGCTATATCACAACAGTTATCTCTTCATCTGATGACAGGGGTTGCAAAACTGGTCGCTGGAAGAAAAAGAATCCCTAAATGATAGCAAAAAACAAAATCAAGTGGAAAATTAAAGACAGGATTAAATTTCCGGTAAAATAAAGTAAAAAATACCCATTGTTCCAAGGTGTTATTGTTGTCAGTGTTTAATTAGATGTCCAGGCACGTGGCGCCAACGATGTACCGGGAGAGGCTCCCAAATTTCGTTGTGGGATTGCTTGATTCACTTACGTTTTTCGTTACTCCAAAACACAATTACTACTAAACGAGTACAGTTTGGGGAAAGAAACTGCAAATTTAAGATAAGGATGGTAAGTCATGTTAACATTATTTGCCAACTCAGTCATATTTTTAACCGGAGGTTATCAACATCCCCCCAGAACATAAAGCAGGTTCCCACACATGCTTTTAACTCATTTGTCAGAATAAAATTTATGAAGTGTTTTCTATAAACTAGCTCATGCACGGATCCCATAAACTACAAAATCTAAAACTTAGACAAGTTGACAGAATCAAAATACAAAATTCTGGTCACGCTTGACTGTAAAATCTTGAAAGGATGATAGGCAGTGGGGAAAAGAAATCAAATTTTTTGAGAGAAAATCTGTTGGCAATGGATGCGCATCCGTCGAAAGGACTTTGACACACCAAGCACTTAAATCTAAAAGAAAGGAACAGGTTGCGTGTGAATTCACCTGTTGCAGTGCTGTAATAGTTGTGATTAGATCAGTTGAATAAACTTTGCCGTTGCAGTTTCTCATTGCAAAGGGAAGCTACTCAGTCCAATAGAATTTGTCTCAATCCCATTAAATGCAGCGTAACAATCAATTATCACTGTAATTCCGCGAAGAATGATGTATGGAAATCGTCTGAAATGAATGTTATGTAGAAAGGCGTTGGTGGAATGAAGGTGATGTAATTGTAATACTTCATATCTCTAATTAGCCCCCAGTTCTGGTAGTGGATCCACTTACGTGCTCTGCTATTCTATCCAAGCTGAGTGGACTGGTCTCCGACCACGTTAGTAGCACCAAGACCTACTCTATGTCCAGGGCATACATTCTGCCCAAGTGTTAGTGTTCAGGGAAGTCTCGGGATGCCACATTAGTAGTAGCGGAAGGCGAACCCATTCCTAAACGATATATACCCTAATTTCTACTGCTGGGTGATAAACCTTAGCTGGGCGGAAGAAGCACATAAGCTGCGGACGAGAGAATCAGTGATGACCCATAAGAGAGGGCCTAAAAACGATGTCAACCTTTGGCATCTGCTTAGGAAAGCTATTATCAACAAAAGCGACATTAACTGTGGTCGTAAACCGTCTAAAGGAGTTCGTTAACGGAATGGCTACTGTTACGTGAAATCACGCCACCTCCGCTACATCTCTACTAGCTTGATAGAATCCAGATCAACATGAGCGTGTAACTCTGATGTACGAATAAATTGGTAAGGAGAAACAGATACTAAACTCTATCTCCAAGTTACCATGTTCAAACCCATTCTTTGATGCATGACTCTACATCTGGGCCAGTGTTCCTATGACTAGCTATGGACACGCGTGATGGCCGGCATATTCCTCCGTCCTGAATTTAGTTTCCATACAGGCCGAAGCTGCAGCTCCAGTAGAACTACGGAAGGGGAAGCAGTGAAGTTACGGTCGTGTATCTACAGGGGAGAATGGAATTTCGATGACTGGCACGGTTGTTTGATGCGTGTTTGTCTTCCAGCACTAAGTGCGTCGTGATGTCTGACGCAGATTGATAGTGAAAATGGCCATTGAAGAAGCCGCTCTAAAGAGAAGAGGGGTTATGTAATACTTTGCTTGTTTGTTTGATTCGTGATTTTGGTAACTGGGGCGCTTAAGTGCTTCATTATTGTACCTTCACCAGCTGGGATGATCTCGGGGACATGTCATTAGTGCCAACCACTACAGCACATTAAATGCTTATGTACTGCCTGAATTTTGTCTTCTTTTGCTCCCTCGGAAGTCCAAGGGTGCTACAGTTTAATGGTATTGTAAATGAATTTGATTTCAGCAATTAAGCGACATTTAATAAAAATTAGATGGACGCACCAAAGTAAAAGACGACCAATGCTGATTTCATTGTAGAAGAACATCATGCCTCAAATAATAATTGTTCGATTAGAAGTAAAGTTGGAATCGACTAAATTACTGTGAGCATAGCCGTAAAAGTTAATGGCAAATTTGGGAACTAGTAAGGGAAACGTAGAAGGTTGCCACAGCAAAAACTTAAAAATTACCTATCTGAACATTTTTAAACTTACCAAGGGAAAATCTGCTTCCAGGTCTCTTACTTCTCGGTAGAATGAAGGTATTTTAAACATACAGATGGGTGTGCATTGTTATTTAAGAACAAAGGGTCAAAAATCCTCACAACCTACTAAAAAATGTAAGATCGTGTCTTAGCAATTTTTGTTTACTAGTTTAGTCACTAAAATAGCAAAAGTTTTAGAATTTTGTTTGTTTAAATTTTTCACTGGCTCGTGACCCACACCTAAGCGAACCTGGACTCCGGATGTCGCTTTCATTTGATGATAAGATTCTGGGGGAGAAAGTTGATAATTACTGTAGTTCTAGTGAAGGAGGAGAAGATTCTGATGAGAGTGATGGTGGAGAAGGCCATGAAGCTATTTCTGGCGTAGCAGCTCCTCCTCTTGCCACTGACACGCTAAGTCACCGGGTCGCTCAGGTTTTACCCGACTCCCTTGCTTACTGTATAGTAGACCGGTCCAAAAGGTGTTATCGCGGACTACAAGCAATACAGAAAGCTTAAAGATGAGCAAGAGAAGTTAAAAAGTGAGGTGTCTTTGCAAGTTGCCAAAAAGTGTGCTCTAACCAGCCGACCATATGTAAATGACTTGTGCCCTCTCGTGGATTTTTATCATTTTAGAGTGCTGATCAGTCAGCTAAAGAGGAGGAGCAACAACTCAAAGAAATGCTTGAAGGTCTGATGGATGATGATGATGCATTTTTGGCGCAGTACAGGCAAAAGCGTCTGGCAGAAATGCAAGGTGCACTCAAAAGCCTGTAAGTCAAAATTTTATTACTTTTTCATCAGTAGACCTATTTATGCTCGTGTATATGAGCTAAATACTGGTAATTTTGTTAGTGAAATCGATAAAGAGCCTGCTGAAGTGACCGTAATAGTACATATTTATGAGGAAGTAAGGATTAATTACTTATTTTGGAGTGTATCTTAGGGTAATCCCGCTTGCAAATCCACCAACGAGGCGTTCGAATGTCTTTGTAAGGCCTATCCTCATTCCAAATTTTGTAAGATTCGTGCCTCAACAGCATTTCTGAGTCGGAACTTCGTACGTTAATCACTTTACTGTAAATCTGCTTTTTTTCCTCCGTTAAAATATCCTTGATTTGTTTTCAAAGGTGGCTAATGGGGTCCCAGCGATACTTGTTTACAAGAACAAGGAGATGATAGGCAATCTCATATCGATTTCCAAAGAACTTGATGATTATTTCCCGCCAGAGGAACTTGAAACATATCTTTTTGAGTAAGTTACGCACTCGTAAAGTTCAGTCTTTTGTCTTCTAACATATTTTTTAGGTGTTGATCAGATTTTCTAAATAACTGGGGAGATTCTAGAAGCGCTTAAGTATGTGGTCATTTTTATACCATTAGCGTGATCGTTTCGTGCTTTTTTATTGGAGCTGTTTCAGCAACTGACCGTCTTTTTAACATGTTTTGAGATGCTGCTGTGCTCCTCCTAATTTCCTGCTTTCTAGTTTGATGCCTACAAAGACTTCAGAAGTCTGGCCTCCGAAATTTAAAATCCAACTAATCGTTTTCTCATTGGAATTAGACATTCGAATTTAGTCCAATAATCTATTTTTCTGCCCTTCCACACAACTAATGCTATCAAGAAGGCAATGTCCAGGTTTCATCCAGATAGCATGCGTTTTGATTTAGTTCAATTTTGTTATATAAGCTGTTTTCTTATTTCTTAATATCGTAAGATGCTTGCTTAAGAATCACATTGTTTATTACTAAAATCAGATATATTGTCCATTATTTGGTCAAATAAGATGAACGTTTCGAGTTGTGACAATGCTGCCTCATCTTTCAAAAAAGTTTTGTTATTCTTCTAGTAGTCGATTGCTAGGCACACTTTTACATCGGGCCTATTTAACTGGTTCTAGCATTGCTTTAATTTGTCATGTTTTGGTTCAGTTCTAGAAATTCCGGTTTGATGTCTGCTTAGTTCGTATTATTTCGCTGGTAGGACCATTGTTTTTGCTTATTTCTTTGCTCACTTGTAGACATGGTTTCTTGCCTCTCAAAGAGGACAATGTCTCCGCAGTGCCCGAGCAATCCTCAAAAATACGATGCGCTTCACTGGACGTTGACTCGGATTAGCCTCTGTTACCTCTTCATCAACTTTGCTTGTTAACTTTCATTTCAATTCGTGTATGGTATAAATGCATTTATGACCCCAAGTAAAACTTGCGCGTAAAGTGAGAAAAAGTCATTCTAGAGATTCGGGTTTGTCCTGGTCATGTATGAGGGCGGGCAGCGGTTCTTGACCTTGTGGTGTTAGTTTTCCAGTACCTGGTCGTTGGCGCTGCCGCTGGCTTGCGTAGATATGCGACGTGTCCCGTCAAAATCTACCGGCTTCTGTGCTCTCATGCGGCACTCAGCGTGAGGATCTGGCATAGGGTGTCACAATTGTGTGGTTTGGAGCCTATCAAATGTGTAGTTTTAACGCAGAGGATCCGATGAAAAGTCGGTTCCACCTCAAGTCTGGCGTTTGGAGAGGCACTCATTTCAAAGCAGTCTAAAAGCGCCGCCTGGAGGGTCAAAAACATTTGACTGTTACTTGGGGCTTGCCGCACAGAACCTGACTGCAATGCCACGCAAGCAGAACTTACCAACGTAGCACAGGATAAAATAAATTTAGCTCAAGTATTGCAAGGCATTTATTACTTACTCAAGTTCTTCGGTATTAAGTTAACTAGGCGGGTTCTTTAACCTTTGCAAATTCTGCTACCTCTTGTTGGCATGATTTTTCACTCGAGCATAATTGTAGGACGAGGCTCGTAGACCTCCTCTTCTCTGGCCCTCGTATTCATAGAACATTTAGGCTGGTTCGGTTTCGTTGTAAGTAATGCGTAAAGTAAATAAAGAGGAGGGGGTAAAAGTTTAGGAAGGTTTGGGTAGGGAACTTTTCCCCGGGTTGTAGGAGGTTGACTGCTTCTCAGTCACGATGTCCGATTAGTTTGCCCACCTCTGCTCTGAATGAAATATTTAAGCAATATAAGTATTACGTAGCCTCTTCGTCCTTTTAGCACCGTAACCAGTGCTACAACTTATGAATTTTTCCAAAATTACCATCCGGTGGTCTCCTATCTTCCGTTAGGACGTAAGCCTCATCTTCATAGCCAACCGGTGGTGGCCCTTTGTAGTCGCATTTTGTTGTGGTGAACACTTACCGGCTGGGTACGCAGTCGTGCGTTGCGGACGAGGTAGTTTGTAGGTGAGAGTGCTTTCGCTACTCGAAATGAGTCCTTGCTCTATGGGTGATAGTACTTGAGATGTATCTCGGGTGGGGGAACCGGCCTGCAAATCTGCACTAAGTCTCCTTCTCGGTTGACGTTCATCCTCCTGTGTCAGTTGTAATATTTCTTCTACCTGGTATGAGACAGTCGTAAATGCTTGCATGCAATATTAGAAGATTCCTTACGCCTTACTTCAGCCGCAGTATGTACTCTGGAACATCGCTGGCTCCTTCGTCGGTGCTTGATAGGAAGATGTCGGAAGGCACTCTCATCTCGCAATCTGTTAGCATCTTGAACGGAGAAACGCCTACTGCCGTATGGACCGTAGCCCTGTACTCAAAGTTAGGGCCTTGGTCGCTGTGAATGTATGCAGGTACTCCATCCTTGTAAATCCACCAATTGAAGAAAACTGGAGTAACCGCTTCAGTGTCTTGTGACTTTATGGGTTTTACCTCAATTACTTTTGTAAATGGAACCTCGCAACTGAGGAGCAGTCAACATCTCGCAACCAGGAGAAGAGTTCCGCGTCCAGCCTTTCCAAAACTAGTAACCCCATTTACATTGCGTAATAATTATGGCAAAACCAAATCAGCCTAAGTATTTTAAAAGCATAAGGGCAAGGGATGAGGGGATCTACGAATCTCCTCAGTCATGAAGTTTAATTCGTCTGTCGCCCCCTCTCTAAAAGGAACATTTAAGCAATATGGGAATTACGTTAGATCTTCGACCCTTTCCTAAGACAACAGTAAATTACAGCTTATGGAAAAAGCGTTGTTTTAATTTAAAAGTGGACTCAGAACAATATAATATGGCAAAGTTGTCACGAAATTTGACGAATTTGTAGTAAACTTGTATGATATTGGGGCAGGAGACAACGCAGGTTTGGTAAAGCCAATAAACACTTTACCCGCACTATTGTTATTAAAGAGTTTGTGTGGTCTAGCCCGCAATTCTGATGATATTATTTTCATAAGTAAAGGTGTTTAAGTTTCTCACAACAAATTAATTTCAGGGTCATTGTAACGTGGCTGCATTAAATTGCCCTTTATGAAAGGGTCGATTCATGCGTTAGCATTATAATGGCCGCAAAAGCTTGTGGGTTAATCTATGTTTTTTTGAATGTTTAGTGTTTGCAAAGTTGAAAGCGTTTCAGGAAATCAATAACAAAATTGTTTTGGGGACCAGTCCTATTCCTTCAACCGGTGATGTTGTTAACCTGCTCAAGTATTTCCAATCTGCACTTTATGGGTAAATGGATTGCCTATTTTACCATCAGATTCATCCGAGACAATCCTAGTTTTAACAGAACTGCAGTCAACTCTGCAAAGTTTGACGAAGAATACCAGAATACAATGCTTTCAAAAGGCTCAATTGAGCAGTTGTATATAATTATAGTCAATTTGATCGAAAACGTTGGTAAACTTACCAGCATAACAAGTATGCAAAATTGATTATATATCAAAGTACTAATTTTGTTAGTAATACGTTTGGGCCACAATAGACCTTCTTGCGTAATCTGAATGATTTGAATATTTTTGCTAAGTAGTATGGCAAAGTTGCAAAGTAGAACACTTTATTTTTACTTCTTTTGTCAAGCACAGTTAATCTGGCCTCTTAAAGAGCCTGTTTATTGTTGTTAATTCTGCTATAACCCGTTGGCTCTTGTGTGAGTAAACTTATGCTAACGTTACTTTGATTCTTCATGTACCTACAGACGTATGTGAACATATACTTCGAACCCTTCACCTGGTTATTTTATTTCTTGATGACGACCAAATCAACGGGCTTCCCATCCTCCTTGCGACTGCAGTCAGCTTCTTTCCCCCAGCTGTGCATTCCAATGTTATAGAGCTTCTGTGTTCAGTTGTCATTCCATTGGTTTACGGTCAGCCTTATTGAAGTCCAGATAATCATATTAACTTTTAGACTTGCCTCCATTTAATACGCATTTCCATTTTAGTCAATAACTCTCAAGATTCATACGCTCTTGACTCTATTCCCTCTATGCTCACCACAGTATTGCAACACGTCGAAAGCCCTGGTATGCATAACTTTTAATCTGTGAAAAAATTACACCAAATTTTCATGAATGTGTCTTTTTAAAGAATGCCACTCATGGCTCCTGGAAAGTCTTCTCAGTCGAAAGAAGGACTTATACAAGGTAAAAATGTTATTTGCTTATAGTTTCCTTTTTCCGAATAAAAAATTATAAAAGAGTTACCGACAAAGTGAAATTTACAAAGGACTGATTGAAAACCTCTCAATTAATTACTAAAGAAATGCTGCGATAGATACCAAAACCCCTACGTATGTTGCTAAAACGTAGCTGTCACTTGCTGCAGGACCTATTTACTGTGATTGCGTATGGCTCTACTGAAGCGCGCTTGCCGGCCGTATACCTACTTTTTCATTATTGGCCCGAGCTTTGCCCATCTGCTTTTCAAATCTTCGACTCCTTGAAGCCGAAGCACTACGCTTGGGAGCGTATGTCAACATTATCTCCTCTAGACACATTAAATTTTTATTCATTCTTTAAGGTTTTGCAAAAACTTTATTTAATTTGACTTAGAAAATTAGTTAAATGCTAGAATGACAAAAAACCTGTGCTTACTACTTATAAAACTTCAGCTTGGAAGCCAGTAACTTGTGAACGTACCGACTGCCCCAACAAACCAGGCAAAGCTTTTGCCATGAAGGTAATAAAATGCAAATTCTATCTCATTGATTAAACCCATCGTCACAGCCCCAACTCATCCTTCTGCACTTAGATGACAATGGATCCCCAAGTTGCCGTCAAGTACGGTAACAAGCCTCCCCCTCTTTATGTCTGTCTTGACTGCGCTGACGCCCTGAACAGACGTGATGTAGACCAGCTTACTGACATCTTACTCCCCAGCAGACAAGTATGCTTTGCTTCCCCCGGCACCTCCAACCAAAATTTTAATCGTTTAAATACCTTGCATGAGTTAAGTCCGTCCTTTATTCATCTAGATCAGTATGGTGTGTGAGTCAAAAACGTGTCGCAGCAAGAACAACACAGCTATTCTGACCTGTTACTCTGTGGAATGCGCTTTCCTTAACGGCAACCGCCCCATTCGATTCTGTGAGACCTGTCATCTCATCCGTCACAGCTCGCAGGCCGCCGAAGTGAATGCACAGGGCAAGGAACCTGCCACAGTGGAACATGTCTACCAGGTGAATTCAATTTGGTTATTTGACCCGGTTGGGTGGTAAAATAAATTTGGCTTTTATCGAAGTAAGTTTGCGAACCCGTTAATACTACAATTCCATTTCTGTGTATATAAATCCTTAAAGTAAACACCTTAATCAGGGAACTTTTTTGCGGTTAGTTCTTCCTTAATTGTGTACAGTAAGCGTGTGTCATTCTTCAAAAAACAATGTTCCAACTTTTTCTGACAGTTTAATAAAAACTTCCACAATATATGTTTAGCATGAAAAAGCCTTAAGTTTGATTTTTCTGTCAAAGTGCGCTCCTGCTTTCATAAACATCTACACAAGGTTAAGAGGGAATCCAATTCAGATTCTAGGTCGTAATTTAAACAAAGCCAAAGAAGTCAATTAGTTAGATGGCGACTTTTCCATATCATCCACCAATGTATTAAGCCTCGTTTTGCATGCCAATATTGCGTGGATTGTAATTAAAGCTTCATATTTCTCTTACTTCTCATCGACTGTCCAGTTCTTCATGTGAGATTTTGTCTACGCTGCATTTCTATATAATTGGTCCTATCCCCCACTACACAGACTCAAATACCCGACATTTGGGTAAGCGGCCTTGACCTTCAACCAATGATGCTAGAAGCCATAGTGACCCTGATTCGAGAGACACAGCCTCGTTGGCGCCAGCTCCTTTTGGGTCTACCCGAGGAGCCAGGAGGCAGTGGGACTCGAGCCGGAGGCGGTTTGGAGCGTACTATTAGCGGCGGTTGTGCCAGTGGCAGTGGAATTGGTATAGGCGGCGGACCCGCGGGCCCTGGTGGTCCGCCCCAACTTCCCCCTGCTGGGTCTGTTCCCTCTGCCTCTGAGTTCCTCATGCCTGCAGCTAGTGGTGCTGGCTCCCTTGGATCCGCCGCAGTCAGCAGTAACCCTTCGCCCTCCATTCCAGCGGTCAATTTTGATGGAACTTCTGTCATGGTGTGTGACTCAGCATTAGACTCTGTAACAATGGAAACTTCTCTCATTGATGCCTGTTCTCGTTTGACGGCGTTTTCTTACATAAATTAGTCGTGATCTTACATTACAAGGCGTAAAAACTTTTATTAGCCCTATTTGTCAATAATCCAAATTCCTTTACTGGTTCTGAGCACTCAGAGCATAACCTGTCATGATTTGCAAAAAGTTTCAAACGTAATGTCATTCGGGGATCGCGTTCCTTCCAAATCAAGTAAGTCGTTTTTAACCTCCATTACACTTGTAATAATACCAGTGGGAAAGAACAAGCTGAACTGGCTATCATTTCGCTTCTCCGGTGACAAATTTTAATAGTACACTTTAAAGTACGTCACATAATACGCTTTACCTTGCCCCTTACGAAACACGAAAAGTATACAAGTTTGCAGATGTATTATTTTTTGGATGGAGATGGAGAGACTCTTCGTTTTAATAATGAAGATGCTGATTTGATAAACCAGTAGGTATAGCCATTCTAGTAACTCTTTAAGTCGCTTTATTTGAGTATAAGAGTATGAAGCCTTCTTATGTATTTTCACACTGGTCAGAAATGTTTGCGTTACTTCGTTTTCTTAGCGAGAAGGAGGCGCCCAAGCCAGACCAACATTTCAAGTATCCGGTCGGTTTGCAGTGGGTCCCAACGGTGAGCCGGAGTTAACTCTAGAAGGTCGCTACGATGACGAAGATCACAAAATTCTTGCTGTCTACGGAGCCATGTTGGCTGGCGAGAAATGTAGACCCAGTGATAGGGTCAATCTGGTAAGTTATTCGGTCGAATTTCATTCCTCCATCATGCTGGTGTTGCGGAGGTTGATACTCTCTAGAGCGAAGTGAACTAGGTGCTTCAGTATTTTCTTTAGCCTTTATGAGAGGTATATTTAAAAACCAACCAAAATAATGCCATCTATCTGTCTTGGTAGGACATCTTAACACGAATTACAGCCGGGGTGTTTAACTGGTTTTTGGATACTGCGTATACAAATGAAGGTATGCCTGACATATGTTTATCTAGTTTTTTTGTAATTTAATTGGTAGTATCTCATTTACTGCCTTAAACTTTGCTCAAATATCTTCATTTTGTTGCCATAGTAGCGACAAATTACTACCAAGGATACGCATCGCCAAAAACCCACCGTAATTTTTCCACTCGTCTTTTGTTGCTTCATGTCTACGTGCTTAATCGCTTCAGTGTGATTCGCTTTCAATCGCTTCTTCCATCGTTTTTTCAATAGATCATTGTGTTAAATGGTTTTTTCAAGAATTTGGTTGAGGGGAGGTGGGGATTCTTTGTTAGCCTGAAGGCATTTACAGTCCCTTGCCTTGCTGAAAAGACACCTTTCCACTTCACCGTTGTGAATAGCGTAGTAAGTTTCCCACTAAGTAAATGTGCTCACTCAATTTTATCAGCATCACACCCTCAACCACATGGCCTATGGTATAAACGCACAAGTTCTTCTTTTGCCTTAAAACGTCTGCTTACTTGCCCACCAGCGTACGCGCATGCTAACAATCGAGGCCAGTGAATCCGCCCTCTGATTGGTCAACGCTTATTCGCTCTTTTAGATGAACTGGGAGAACTGATCGAGCGTCTAAAGAGTGAGGTGAGCGGTGTTCGGTTGTGTAGACCAATAGCCATCGTCCTGGTGGCAGACGTATTGCGATAAGCACTTTGGGTGTGGTAAAATGTTGGGAAATTACACTTTATGACAATGGCCCGAATGACAATAAGACTCATAACCCAAGTTAAGCCGAATTTTTTGGAGTCATTCATGATAAATTTGAATCAGTTTGACAGCTAGTCGTGCGTTGCTTTCAGTACATGCTGAAATGGATCCAGGAGGTTCAGCACACCCATCCAGAAGTGATTTTGGCAGTGCTCCTTCCGCATCCCGTTGAAGTAGCTCGTGTTGGGAGCTGCTGGTGAGCATAATTAATCCTTCACGTTAAGAAAAACAACGAATAATCATTGGAAAATCTTGTTGAGCAAAGCCATAGTAGACTTATTTGTACAATCTGCTCAACCATTTTAATTAGTTAATTAGGGATGATATTTAACTCGTCTAAGCCGAGGTTGAATACTAAACTGATCAAAGGCATTATGTGTAAGAAACCCATATGTTTGTCATGATACCGTCTCTTTCTGTAGATAGTGCAAAATAAATCACTTTGCGGGGCTCTATGCTAAGGGATTAAGTTGCAAAGTGTCAAGTAGTGCATAGTTTAGGAAGCAGAATTCAGGACAACAAAAGCCCCCTTAAAATATACGGTATTAGACTAAGAATAAAATAGAGTCCTAAAACTCCTCTCTTATTTTTAGAAAATACACATTTATTCATTAAATAAATGAAATCGTTGATTGTAATTCATACAAATATCTTTGTAAAATGGATAAATTGGTTTCAGCCATCACTTATATGTGGTGTGTCGATTTTTTACCCAGGTAAGTGGTCACAAGTATATAAAATGTGTTCTTTATCAGTTTATTATAACCGCTTGTATCGAATTGTGTCGTTGAAGTGATCTGAGCTCTAAGTCCAAAAAACGGGTGCAGATTTTTTTCGATCTAAGGAAAACATACATTTTCATTTTACGAGTACAATCTAAAAACTTAATTGATGATCGGTACTACATTAAAAACACTATATGTTTAGGCTGTAGTAGCAAAAGTACTGATCAAGCAACAATTTACACTGATAAAATCCTTTTGCATCCTAGGGACACTCTTTGCGGGAAAACAGCAATTGTCAAGCAGGGACTAAGTCGCATTAGCAGCCTCATTCCCTACGATGTAATGACTTTTGAGGTGGGTTGTATTCCTCGCATCCCATGTCTTCGTCTTATAAATGGCTTTTTTCGTTCCTTTTTTTTTTAACTTTAGACTTGGGACTACATAATCCCTTACTGGCTGGAGTCCATCCGGACAGAAGTTAAACCAGACGACTATCGTGAGCTAGAGATTTTGCTTAAGTGAGTGTCTGCGGGGTTGAGTTTTAACCTATTTTGCACCAGCGAATGAATATTGGTAACATCTCTTCCCTTTCTAGGAAAGTATTCGATGCTACCGCTGGTCCCTTTCCTTTTCTCCCCGCCAAGGTCTATCACTTTGCTGGTGAACGCTTTATAGACGCCACTGCTCCTGTTCAGGATCAAGTTTTGTCTTGGCTTGAGGTTAGAAAACCTATTTTATCCAAATTCGGGGAAAATTTACTGTCCTTATCAGATACTGCTTTCTACGAGGTTGGCAAATTAAACCATTACTACGACTGGAGAGCAGTGGGTAGAGGTTCGGAAACTGCGTATTAGCTTTGATGATAAGAATAAAATTCACGCTCAAGCTATTATTTTCTAAGAGCAATGGGAAATACCATGCACACAATCCAATTTTTAGTCAGGAGAAACTATTCAAGCGATATCAGAATTTTCTACCTGATTGACTTCAATACTATTTTTAGTCGGAACAAACTTTACCTCTGCGCGTTTTTTTATGCAGAAATAAAACAAAATCAAAAAAAACATAAATATTAATTGGTTTGATTATGACTTTGGTCTACTTACCAAGACCAAGCATTAACAAAATACTAAGGGCAAATTCCCTTTTACGTTGTGCCCTTCCTTAAGAGATCATTAAGCATATTTTCTCCTGCTTTGATTTCAGAGTCCGGAAAATAGTCTTAAAACATGCAGTTCTGCAAGAAGCAAGCATTATTAGTTCAGGTTGAGGAAATTGACATCAAACCTAAGGATAAATATAGTCTTAGCATAAGAAGTTATTATCGACAAAGCAGGAAGCTAACAATCAAAGAAAAGGGATCAGAAATACATATCTTCCCAAACTAATCAATCTCAAGTGAGATTTTACGCACGTAATTGGATGAATCCCAAGACTATTTCATGTAGGTGTCCTTAGGTCATATCTCAGAGTGTCAGGCCAACGCTGCTGATTTATGAGATGAAGTAAATTTATTAAAAATACAAATCCCCAATCTTCAATGTAAACTTAAAAGGAGCATAACTAAAACTTTGTGTTTGTTTTATCATTCTCTTGCAAAGTGCTTTAAAAATTTGGTTTACTGTGGATTCATAGAACCTGCTTCTGCTAGACAAACAATCAAACCAATTAAAATATGCACTTTCTCCTCAAGAAACCATAAATACAATACCGCTTCTCCTTATAAATCCTTGAATAGCTCGTGGTTTGATTGTCGTCCCGCCCTCTAGATACTGACGGCAGTAGAGGTAGCAATTCCAATGAAGGAGCTTTTCACCATGTTCCGAAGTGGAGTCTCAGCCTTCCTCAAGGCCGGTGTGCTGGGTGATACCACGTGCCTAGAAGAACGCCACACGTTGGAGAGGCAGTCCTTGTGGTTTGACGACGACTACGATCCCGAAAACTTTGAGGCCTCGGATGATGCGGTCAGCTTTGCTTCTGATGAGGCGTACAACACTGGTGGAGTAGACAGCGATGACGCGAGCGCCAATCTCCTGGACGAAATGGATGAAGAGGATGAGGAAAATGATGACGAAGAGGAAGAGGGTAAGCAGTGTAGTTTCCTATCCAACGTTTCTTATACAGCTTAAATCAAAGGGTCGTTGTTCATTGTTCACAGGCGTTGCGTAATTTAATCAAATCCCTTTATTTTATTTAGCCTTAGTTTACCTTTAGAGTGCCGAATTCTTCGCATTTCTGTTGTTCATTTTATGGCAGCGAAGAAAATCTACTTAAACATAAAACCTCTTGCATTACATAACTTATCCCTCATACTGAAGCAAAGTACGAAAGATTATAAATGACTTGAAGATAGAATTATGCCTTGAACAATTCAATATATTCCATTCTTTGAAAAATCCTTTAAAATTTATATTACTGTTCATTAAAAAGACGCCTTCGAGGAGGAAGCATACGATCGCAGTGTGCCACAGGAGGTAGGCGATGACGCAGAAGACTTTGAGGCCGTAGCTACTAGTGCCGTAGATGCCGACGACTCCAGCGGCCTCCTGGTACCTGGACCTAAGAGTTCGTTGGAAAAGCGAGGCCACAAGAAGTCCTACTCATCTGCCGCAGCTCCCCTCGATGCTCCTCGTTTCTTTCTTGGTGAAAAGCGTGGTCTCAAGAGCTCCGTGAGTCGCAAAGTGAGTGAGGAGCCGTCCGTTCTGGTGGAGGGAGTGAAGCGCTCCATAATGACGAAGGACCGTTTTGTTCCTGCTCCCACCACTCCTGCCGCGCCAAGGGGAGCGCTAGCTGCTAATGTGAAGCGCCAGTCCCGACGCTCCTCAGTGCTCAATCGGGGGCAAAAAATGCGCGTTTCTCCGTGGACTAACAAGGAAACAGTGGTCTACCGATCTACAAGGTGTTTAGGACAAATGCTTAGTTTGGTGCTTAAGCAGGTACATCTGAAGTAACCAATAGTAAAATCTGCACCAACGCATATTTCGACCTTTAAAGCGTCACTGGAGATCTTAAGTAAAATCATTTTACAACTATAACCAAATTATGTAGATCCAAGTTTAGAAGACGGGAAGCTGCTATACGTAATAGGGCTCTGCTAAAGAGAAGAACTTGATCATTACTTCTCTATTTAATGAATCGTATGACATTTTTAAGGTTGTAGAACAGTTTAATTGAATTCTGGAGCTGCAAAGACACAGACATTAGGTAGTTAGTACAGTTTTCAAAAACCCACATCTAACTATTGCGCTTGTGTTTATTATTGTGGGGTAATATAGCCTACTCAGGCATTGGACGATAGAAATGAAAGTGTTTTAAGGAATCCCGATGGACGGGCACTCATAGATTCAGACATTAGGTGGTTCATTTTGTCAATCAGAGAGATTTCAAAGCCTGCGTCTCTACTCCGATTTATCCTTAGCTAAAGCTCAGCGACCCGTTTGGTCACGGTGGATTCACACAAGAGACACCACAACTGGTTCTCTCTCTTCTCAGCGACATGCTTAATCTCACCTGGATGCCCGCAGGTCTCCGAAACGGCGTTTATAAAGATGGTGGCAATGAAAACATAAGATCTCGAACTCAGCTGCGTCGAATGACGTCAATGACAACCGCTAGCCGATGTATGGGTCATTGCACAGCCCCCTCACCAGTGAGCAGCCAGCAAAGCGCACCAACTGTGGGAGTGGTGGGACCGGCCGGCAGCGGAGCAAGTGGTAATTTGGCAGCCCTGCTCTCTGCTACACAAGCAGCAGTCGCAGCGGTAGGAGATGATGACTTCTGCGCGTATTGTCAGGATGTCTGTTGGTGGTTCGAATTGGCTAGTCTACTGTGCCATCATCTGGCCCCCGCTTCACCACCAGCGCTGCCGAGGCTTGAATTATCCACTAGTGCAGTTGGTGCGTTTCTTACTCGTCCCGGTGAGTGACCACCTTCCCGTTACAATTGTTTACCCCATGAAGTCAGAAGTTCCACTACAGTTTGTTTTCCCTAGTGCCCAGGTACTCATACAAGCTAATAATTTATGCTTTCTTTCTGTTTTGTCTTATGAGCTACGGACTTTAAGCGCCAATTGAATTCTCTTCTTAAAAAATTTTTACAGGAAATGGTATTCCCACACCTGGTTTTATCATGGCAAAAGGACTTTTTTAGAGACAATTTTTAGCATAAAATCAGACATGCTTTTCTTAAAAGTAGAAATCAGTGACATTTTACCTATTATCCCTCTTTGAATTGATTGGAGTACGAATTTGAACTATTCTGCGTTTAAATGAGCTCAAAGCAATAATTTTTATTTAAGTGTCACTAGATTTGGACTAATCGCATTTACAGGAGGTAAATAATGGGATTTCATAATGTGACACCTTTTACTGGTAATATGGACATCCTGCTGACCTCAACTATTGGTCAAAGTTCTATGGTGACGACTCTATTACGAAGAAAACTCCTCTTCCCGACCATTCACTCACCTTAAGCGCTGTCACCAGTACCATTGAAAAAAAAATCTGAATTGGTGGCCATACAACTAATTTTCTTTATACTCAAAAGGTTACATGTCATTACTTGACCAAAACACCTGGCTTAAGAATTTTTTAATGATTTGGTAAATATTTAAATTAAAAGCGACGAAATGGCTTCTTCTTTAGTTGTTGAACACACTTGAAGAATCGATTAAAACAATAAAAGCAAGGAAATTGTCGTATCTTGAATCAATCAAATTCACGGCCTCTGGGGGTCAAAATTGCCTTTGTATTTTGTAAAAAGCTTCATTTCCCTTGCTAAAGCATGCTCCTATACCTGGTTTTATTTCTTCTTGTAAAAAACTAAATTTTATGCCCTTCATTCCCGTATTTAACATTAATGTCTTCGTTACCTTATCGTGACATTTTTCAGCTTTGGGTCATCGCGGACAACACGTGTGCCTTTGGTTGACCGAACGCCGTTTTTTCCTTCCTTCAGTCAGCTTCTGTTTGCACCACAGGTTTATAAAATGTTGGTAAAATTGATTAAGTAGTGCCTACAACTAAAAAGCAAAATGATATAATGAAGAATAAATGAAACGTGCGCATTATTTGCCATTTAAATGCATTGTACGTTGGATTTGGGTATAAATTCGCAGTTTAGTGACAATATATGGACAAGAATATTTCCGTTTTAATGCTTTTCCACAAATACACAAAATGTATGAAATAGGTAGTTTTATCTTTTTCATTACCGAAAACTAGCACTTATTACTATTAAAAACGTAACAAAGTTGTCTTTTCTGTGCTGCCAGTTCGATTAAATTACGAATTCTCTTAACCCACTTACGAGAGATACTTATGCTAAGGGTTATTTGGCTGGTTGTCCATGCAAACCTAATAAAATTCTATTTTTAAATGTCACCAAGTTTAGGACAGGAACAACTTGTTATGCTAGATCCTCCTTCCTCCATTTAATGGTCTCCTTAAGATCTCAGAAAAAACGTTGATCAAAACGATCATTTGTAGTCTTTATCATTAAGACTATCCCAAGTGGTGCACTGGTCTGGCAGCCAGTGAGATAATGCGACGCACCGACGGAAGTCGTTCAGGTCCTGTTGAGGATGAGCGATCACCGGCGCAGGAGGCACTTGGTCTCGATTCCATGGAACCGTCCGAGGCCGACCTTCTCGGCTTTCCGCCCGCCCTACGCTTTATATACCAACTCCTGCGCTGTCTTATGGGCAAATCCGGCTGTGCAGGTGTCTCCTATTTCATTCGTACTCAGTCATCAACTGGAACTGAGGCAGAGAGCAGAGCGAAGAGCGAAGAGCAGCCGCGAATCGCCTTTGAAGGACGTACTCCGCGCGATCCCGTGGTGTTGCGACACTTGCTAGAGTGCCTGAATTGTCTCATACGAGTTGGAAACGTGTTGCAGAACATTCTCAATGCGGCAGCGCGGGCTGCAGAGATGGCGGCTGCTGCCGCTGCAGCGATGACAGTAGGGACTGTTACTTCTATACCAGCGACGAGAGCAGCAAGAACAGGCGGAGGCACGGCTGGTGGGGCAGCGAGTTCTGCCACCGCTAATAGCAACGCTTCGCTCAGTGTTCAGGCGTCTTTTGTGTTATACTTAGTGGAGCACTGTCTCATTCCAACGTGCGTTTTGTTTTCGGTGCCCATGTGGTGAATATCTGCAATGAATAACGCTTTTAAGGAATACAATGCATCCAATTTTTTAACTAAATTGGGTTTTTTACCCCTTTAACAAATATCTAATTTAAAGCGCGTAGGAAACCCATTTTGTAAGCCAAAGCAATCATTGTATGCATATTACTCCTCTTCTTTTTTTATAGCTCAATTCATGCACCATAGGATTGCGCACGCCAAATGACACAAGATTTTAGTGCAATAAAGCGAGCTTATTCATTTCTTAGTGACATTAGTAATAATCTTTCAGATTATGGAATTTACTCACGGCAGAGCACTCCCACCTCGCCAGTTGGGTGGTTCCCCTCCTCCTCCAATCCCTCACAGTACCCAACATGGCGGGTGTCTTTTGGCGTCTCGTGGAGCACGAATGTACCCACCCCGACTGGAAGGTGCGTTTTGACGCCATGGAGAAGATTCATTCCCTTCTGCGTCAGCTAGACTTCGCTGTGGTATCCGGCTTCTACAACGGGCCCGCCTTCAAAGACTTGTCGGTCGGCCGTCAAGCCACCTCCTCTACTGTAAGTAGCAGCGCTGGAGGCGGTGGTGGTGGTCTGGCTGCTCGGGCGGGTCGACGGGTTGGTGCATTCAGAGCACACAACTCTAACGCTGCGGCTACGCTCAGTGCCTCGGGAAGCTACGGGAGCAACCTCCTGTGGGGAGGGAGTGATGCTAGAGGTGTTCTCGGTAAAGCTATGGGTGGAGCCATGGGTCCTCTTCATCCTTTCGTACTAAATTCAATTGCTCACCTTTTCTCGCGTCTCATCGGCTCACTGGATGACTATAGCTCGGTGGTGGCTCAGCGGAGCTCCTATCATCTAAATGAGCTAGATGATAACGCATTAAGCGTAAGTTGCTGTGCTTATACTGAAACCCTATTATCCAGATCCTACTTCATTCAAGTGATAACAATCTAATTTTTTGACACGGCAGATTAACACCAATTGGCTACTCTGTAGAAGCATAATTATCAACGTCAACAACAACACAAACTAAATTGATAAAAAGCGCATACGATTAAGAAAGCATTCAATGCGCGATTTTTGTGTCTAAGTTCAATGGGGTAAGCTTTTTTAATATTTCAGTGTTGCATCCAGTGTATGGAGTATCACTTTGATACGATAGCGGCCGATCGCACGATTATCCTGAAACGAATGCAGCAGCTCAGTTTTGCTCTACCCAATAGACAGATATTCACCTGGAACTTCTTCATCGACCGATTTGGCATTCTCTCGATTGGAGCGCAAATTGCTGGCAAAACGAATCCTGACATCGATTCAGGTCTGTGAAAATGTCGGCATAATGAAGTCTACTACAAGCGCATCAGTAGAATAAGTGATTCAAGCTTAGTTACGGAACTACTTTTAATTTCCATATTAAGAGGTTCAAATTCTAGTTCTCGTATTGAAGGTAGACCATTACGCATTCAGGCACTATAGTAGTTGTAGAATCTTCTTTTTGACTAAAAAAGATAGTGAGTAGTGATGGTAGTAGTTGACTTTCGGCTGGTATTATCAACACTAGGTTGGTTTTAGACGAAATTAAATGAGTTTTTTACTTGATTTAGTGACCGATCTCAATAACATGAACAAGCGCGGAGACGCTTTTCAGCAACAGTTCAATCGGGCTGTTTTTGCCGCCTCGGGCGCGGGCATGTTGCCCTCAGTGGTGAGCCAACCAAATGACCTTGGGGTTGGTAGCAAAAGGAACAAGACATGGAGTGCGAAGCCTCAGCGACGAATCACTGCCTTCAAACGTTCCGACGAGCACGATTCGGGTAGAGCATCACCGTCTGCAGGTAAATTAAAGCTTGCTGCCCTCCTCTTAAACATCATTAACGGTAATAAAGACCTAAAATAGTTTTCATTTCCGCCTCCTCCCCGCCCAATGGTCAAAATAGGTAAATCTTTTGGTTATAAAGTATCAATCTTTCGAGTCAAAATAGACTAACTGAACGTAATGCACCTTGGAGGGGTTTTCCTCATGAAATGGTTAAATTTTGGTTCAAATAAACAGATTTTCAGCAGTAACGTTAAGTTGATGCTTTAGCTAAATACTCTTGTTAATATTTTCAACTATTTACCCTAGGAATAAATTTTGAACTAATAAGTGGATGTTTTTCATCAATTTTTCTCTCTTTGAGAAGCCAACAATCGTAAATTTTGATTTGTGGACTAAATCCTGTGTCCCATCTTTGTTCAAGCTTTGTGGAATGTTCATCCTCAGAAAATTAACTAAATTGGTTTGTTTACTTCCCCTTAGAAGCACAGAGTCAAGCATCTTGTGAAAATCGACGTTTGCGACCATCGGTTATTAAACTAACTGGCTTCTTTTCCGGTACGTGTAATCGCGTCAAGTTGCATTGTCTAAATTTTACTGATTTATATTCTAGGAAATAGCAGAAGCTCTCTTAAATTAAATTTTGCCAAGAAAAAGTTACCTAGCGCAAATAATCCGTTTACCCAAAGTGTTGCCTGTTTTGTCTGCGATTGTTTCGAATGGTGTGCTTATTTTATTTGGCCGTGCTTTTACCTGCTTGGATTCCTAATGGAAGTCGCTTTAATTACCGTTCCATTTGAGAGTCTTGTTATTATTTTTCTGGTCTGATTCCACTGAGGCAACTTTCGAGAACAAATTGCATTTGCCTTTTTATCGCTGTGCCTACCACCTTTTTTATGCAGGGAAATGTCACATGGAACCAAACCATGGTTTTTATTTGGGAAAGAAGGCAGCGTTATTGAGATAAGAAATAGCTTAAGTACCAACGTATTTGCAATTGGTTGGAGAAATAAGTCCATTTTCTGCTGTAGTTTCGAATGTTGCATTCAAATATTAGCTAATGAGTGCGGACAGAGGCATGGAGTTCCTTTTACTCCCCTGCACATCGTCATAAATTTCATTTGCAAGAGGAAGTCACATGAAATCGCGAATAAGGCTTCTCATACCAAACCATCTTCTTTTTTCTTAAATGAATAGGCGAACTAAAAGAGCTTTAAGTCTGTTAAGAAGTTAAAAAGGGAAAGAACAGAGAAGAGAGAAATGATGGAAGCACAGATTAAAGTCCCGATTAATATGGTTTCCCTCTGCAGGCGGACCGGGGTCAACCGAACTAATGGACAGTGCAAACAAATTTCTCTGTTCGCTGCAGCTGAAGCTGGACCAGGATGGTTCAGATCGGGGCGCTCTGCACCAGTGGGTGCGTCTTCTGCTCCGTTTTATGGCCACAGTGGACATGGAAAGTGGTGGACAAGGCAGTAAATCACGACGTGGCGCACCCACTGATGAGCTGAGAGACAAAAAGGCTCTTTCAAAGGTCCAACGACATCTTGCTCTCCTCCTTGGATATGCTGACCAGGCCTTCAACATTCCTCCTTACAAATTAAGGTCATAAGATATCTGGATTGACTGAATCTGGTCCTTCTTGATTTGTTTACTCAGGCTTGATGATCACTATTCGGACCTTCTGGTGCTTGTAGGACATCGACAGTCTTCCACGCATTCATATCACACGTGGCAGATGTTTTGGATAGGAACCCCCCGATGGGCAGTTGCATTTTGCATCAGACGCTGATGGTTCTGCAGGTGTGTGCCTCACCACAGCGCTACGCTAACGACTGTCAGGCGCCGAATTTTACGCTTCGTTTGTTGGAGCCTCAAGTTCGACACCATTGGCTAAACACACTTATCATCATTCTCTACAAGGTGGGTGTCTATACATAGCTCGTTTTTAACATCTTCACTTATCCTGAAGTAACTTCATTATAGTTGAGTCATGGTTAAAATATGGTTGGCAAGATTAGAGACATCCGAATCCAGCAATGCAGTCGCATTTTAATTTATTTAATTTATATGAAGTAAAGCTTAGATCAAAACCTGTCTCCTCCTTGGACACGCATGCACTGCCTACCCTTCGACTAGTTAGGACGGGTTACAACACTCTTCCGTTTACCAAAACCAGTTAATGTCATTTACATGGGCGCAAAATGTCAGCATATCCCTCTGTAATTGGTATGCAAATTCCGTTTTATTATGAATCAATTTTCCCTTTTCCACTTATCTTCTTTTTCCTGGAAAATGTGGAACTCTGCCACTGATTTTGATGTGCCAGTTCGATTTTGGTCAGAAGGCCAAAGCGTTTGATGTTAAAGATGCCTTGGGTAGTCGTAAATTACTCTTTGGAGCATTTTTATGGTTTGCAAAAAGCACTCGCTCTTAAATTGGTAAACGTTTTGGAGACATGGATATACTAAAAGGATGTTGTGTGAAGTTAGAGGGATAACTTGAATGCAATATTTTATGTATTTTCTAGTAATTCTTACATGACCAGACCCATTGGTTATTCACACGACGACTTAATCTCACGAGGAAAAAGTCGTCTTCATTCAAAGGCTCTAGCAAAGTATTGAATCCATTATGTTTGCCTAAGGCCACTGATACATGGAAACTGGTAAGGCCCAATTAACTGCTCATTGTGTTCGCATCCACTTTGGCCTTCCGGAGCAATAAAAAGTGATTATTATTATTATTATTATTATTATTATTATTATTATTATAGCATATGCGTCGAACGGGCTTAAATGGTGATAAAATTGTTAGCCATATTTTCTTTGAAATAAATTATTAATCTGCTAGATACTTTGATTGTTTAAGGCATTAAAGCTCTTTACTTTTTGAGATTAGTACATTTTGGACCTTGAGTTAATCATAATCGCCGTACGATGAATTCACTTTTTAAATTGTTTACTTTTCAAGGTAAAAGGGTGATTTTTGGGTAATAATTTCTACAATTTCTATACTTCCCATACCATCAGATCAACTTTATGCACAAATGCCGAGTAGGAATCGCTTGAATGATTGCAGAACCTTCCTTTGCATACCAGACTAATAAATACTGCTTTTATTTTTCTCCTCTCCCTCTTCCCAATTGGCAGTATGAGTACAACTCACCATCGGGGGCTATGAATCCCTCGTCCAGTTTCTCTGGTGTCGGTGGTTACAAGACCAGCGTGGACGCCTTGAATTGTGGCCCCAGTGGGGTTGATTTCATGGATTCACAGTTCAACGCTGGAGATACAATTTGTAGCATGGGAGGCGCTCGTCCTTCTGGATTCAGTCCGGGTCACGGCACTTCTTTTTGTACTGGGACGGGTATGTCCACTGCCGCCTCCGGTGCTGCCGCTGCAGCTGCCACTGGAGCCAACACTAGCAGCAGCTGCTTCATCAACACGTCGTCTACCTTTCAGTGGGGTACTCGAGGCATTATCGAGTACCTCATCCGTATTGTGCTCAACACTCTAGAGACGCAAGTGCACATCTGCAAGGAAAGAAATGAGGACGATGTTTTCGACTCCCCATCTATGTACCTTCCACGACTGAGGGGTAAGCGAGAGCATATGGCTTACGTGTGCTTTTATATGCGCAGCGTTTTTAATTGCATATGAGTTATCGCTGGGTACATTATAGTGGGTAATTTGAGTGTGGGAGTAACTTGAGTAACATTGTACAGAAGGGCTAGGCAATTTAAGCCTGTTCAGTGCCCATAACTTTCAGTGGTGGTCACCACGTAGAACTTGGGGAATTGACTGTTGCAATAAAGTTTGGCGAGTTTCAATAGCCACTGTGTTGACAATCGCCATCCTACCATCCAAAGCAGATCTCTTTCCCTTAAAATACTTTTGCACAATATCAGAACTAAGATTATCATGTTCGATTGGGATCTACCGAGTTATTTTTAAAACATTATAATTCTACCACAAACAAAAATCTGCATGGTGTTAAATTTTACCTCCATTTTCAAAATTTCTGCAGATACTCTCACCAAAGGTAACCGTAATACATGATTGTATAGTGCATGGGCATAATTTATGCCTAAAAATGCTGCATGATTTAATCTCACTACAGCTCTCTAGAAAAGGTACATTTGTGCATTATCGTTATTCATCCGCATGTCTCTATCGAGCACATCAGACCTTCCCAGAGGTATGGTCTCTAATTCTTTCTTAGCTTCTAATTCCTGCATGTCACTGATGGATCCAGGCGAATTTTACTGTATGGACAGAGAAGTTGCTTGCTCGAAGCTCTTCGATTTCTTTGTGCATTTTCACTATCACGGAAATTCATCTGTAGCAATTTAAGTAACATTCCAAAAGTTGTTTGGACATAATAAAACTGACTGCATAACTCATTTTAATAATATGAATTAAAATCTCTGGCTTTCACAGCAAGTTTTGCCTCAAATTTATCAATGCTTCAAACTTAACGGGAAATTTCTTTTGCACTTTTTTGAGGCATCTCTTTTCTGTTGTGCTTTATATTTATCTTTAACTTAATTCTACCTGTGTCAACATGATTCCCATTCGTTGCTGACTTTGCCCTGTGTTTTTTATGGCTGGCGAAATGGATTCCAGAGAATTTTCTCACAAATCTTTCTGGGACTACTTTGGACTTACTTCCGAGAAACAAATTAAAATGCATCTGTGCATGTAATTAGCTTCCATTTTTGGTTTACAAGAACAATTTCTCATCGGTTAGCCTGTGTCCACCCCAAATTTTCATATTTCTTCGACTCTAAGGCCATAGTTTCTGTGTTACAATTTCAGGTCTGCTCCTGCGTAAGAGTAGGAGTGATCACCAACATAAACGGGATTCTACATTTTCTGCCCTTACACCAAAAGTGCTTTCTTTATCAAGATGTTTATACGCAATTCAGTTGTCACCTTTAAGATCAGACATATTTTATTAGTGGACATTCATTTTTATGTGAAATGAGCAGTATTTTAACGAAGGTGAAGTTCCAATCTAATTACGGTTTATTAAAAGTGACATAGACTTACAGCACTTAGGTGCTATTCGGAACGACATTGGGATAAGCAGGTATCCGTTCCTTTCCTCTACTGACACTTCCTCCTTGAGTAGCACTGATATTGATTCATCTCTGTCGCATTTTTTAATTACATTTCAGATTATCTGGTATCACGTGAAAACGTCATTTATACCTTTCCATTCTTGGGCATGTTAGATACCAACGGCCTTACTGTGGCTGCAACTTAATGCTCATTAAGCCAACCCTTCTTGTTGTACAGAAGCCAGCAACATAAGCACCGAGGTTAAGTCAAGAGAGGTCGAGGCGCCAATACATGAGGACGATGATGAGGTCATAGTGATGCCAGGAATCACAATCTCTCAGGATGCTCCCTCGGAGCACACCTCTCAGGTCTCCACCGACAAGGACGTACTGGATTTCACCGATCTTTCGCCTGCTATTCCTCCTGGAACTGGCCTTTTAGCAGAGAAGCGGGGCTTTCCGCATTACACAAAGGTTTGGCTCATTATAAAGCCTTGGCTCCCATTCTAAGCTCCGCGCAACTGAACATCTCGAATGTTTAGTTCTTCACTTTTTAAAGACATGGGGACGCAAAATTAAAGCCTTATTTGAAGAATTATAAAACTCGTGTAAAAATTAGAATGCTTGCTTTGATCTAGCTGCCAGGAACTATGTTTTTATTAAAAGTTGGGTGAAGCATTTATTCACCGCGTTGATGCCACATTTGATAAGATCCTCTTTTAAGGGTAAGGATTTTTGTAGGTAGCAAAATTCTTTTTTTTCATTTCAACGCAAATTAGGCAGATTTCTTTTCCAACATCAAGAACCTGTACAAATTCAGCAAAGTTATTTTTACGCTTTAAAACATTTCATGTGCAAAATCCAGAGCTTTCTCACAATAGTCTAATTAGCGGTTTTCATTTTAAGCAAAGGTAAGTCTTTCGTTTTATTTTCCACATCTTTTGCTATTCCAGAGAAATTTCAGTTTCTTACTGGTGTGTACTTAAACTATGTACCAATGCCATGTCTTTGTACCACTATCACATTGCCAAATTAGTGTAAAATCTTGAATTATGCCCATAGTTTCACATTTTTGAAAACAGTACATCTGCGTAATGCTTCATTGCCTTCAAAATAGGTTCTTATTTTGTTTAATTCACTTAAAAAATTATTTGGACGCTCACTCACCAGAAATGAAGTGAACTTTGTCTGCGACATTATTACCGACACGGTACTTCTAAGACTATATTAAAAACTATTTGGAATGGTTTATAACCACATTTTACTTCCTGCAAAGCAGGGGAAATTGCTGGCGTATTATTTCTTTGTGATAAGTTGGCCAAAAATACCTGTTTGAACATAAATATCTTTGTTAGCTACTGGTGTAACTTTTATTGCTTACGTATAATAATGGGTCAGAAGCATTGAAAAAATCAGATAGCTCCAAACTATTGCTTTACTCTGGAACGTCGGTAGTGGAACTCTATGCAAAAAATTACCGGTGTATTGCATCTGAAGTGTATCCCATACGTTTTTTGCTATCATCGGGGAGAGTTGAATCTCCACGATAGTTAATTCTACAAAAATGAGTTTGCTTATTTTCCCAGTTTGGAAAGGACCGTGATCTGGAGCCGGCGAGCGGACTTCGTTTTGCCTCACCAATTATGAAGAAGGTTAACCGATGCCACCAGGATAGCCGGGATGAGCTGCAGCAGTCGTCGGTGCATAAGGACTCCACTGAGATGAAGGAGTCACTTGAAGTTCCATTTAGTCTTACGCTGGCTTCTACTGGTTACAAACCTTTCAAACCGGGTGCTGTTTCACTGGAGGAAAGAGCTATCTTGCCAGTATGTGCACGACATTTCTTTAATGCGATAGACCGCTCATTATGGCTATTATCTTTTTAGAAAACTTGTTTAATCTAGTCGGTAGGAGGAGTTATTCATTTTTCGTTGACTTTTGATCGAGCCATTTTCGAGCGAGTTCTTATTTTGTATTTTATGGTAATTTGAAATAACATCAAGGCTCTTTTGCACTTCAGTGGGCGAGCCACATGGTTATAACCGATTATTTGAAGCAGTATTTTGGAATAAAAGTTGCTTGGCTTTGGCATTCTATTAGCAAAAGACCATTATGGAATCATTAACAGAAGCCAAGGCTACACAGTAGTCAACAGTTTTTTACTTCTTGACTATCGTTTACGAATGACCAGATGATGTTTATCAGATCAGCCGATAAGTGTTAATTAAAATTTACCACATGGAAC